CCACGCCAGAGGAACGATTTGTGCCTCCTCCGGCACACCTCACAGCGAAGCCTGCGCCAATGGTGCCGGTTATCGACCTGGAGGAGTTCGAGACGATCTCCTCAGACGAGGATCTTTGATTGACTGCCGTCAGGTCTCTTCCGAGCCGCCCGCGAAAAGAACTGCTCGAAAGGTGGTTTCGCAGAGCGTTGCAGTAGGAGAGTTTGTGCATGTAGGTTGCCCAGCATGTTTGCAGGTAGGTTGCCCAGCGTGTTTGCAGGTAGGTCGTGCAGCTTGTGTTCCTTTAGGTCTTGCAGCTTGCGTGCCAGTAGGTAGCTCAGCGTGCATGTCGGTCGGTCGCCCATTGATTGATTCAGGTGATGTGGGTGGTGGCGTTGGTGTTGCAGAGCTAGATCAGCTTTTTGGTGACGATGGTGATGACCATGACGGGTTAGAGATAACAGCTCCTCAGAACACCAGGCCCCCTGTAGACCCCGAAGAAGCTCTCCCCGAGAACCTCGGTGCTGAAGCTAGATTGCGCCACCAACGTCAGGGGCACATCCCCTATTGGGGTGGCTGTCCTAGCTGTGTAAGATCTAAAGGGCTCTCACCCGCCCGAACACGCAAAAGTGTCGACCCACTTGAGGTGCAGATGGATCAATACTGGTATCGAGGCATCCGTTTGATTGCTGTGGTACACGTACCGACGTATTGTGTAGGCACAGCTGCTACCTATGCAGGAGATTACCGAAAAGTCACCGTGGGGAAGCTAGTCAAATTCCTCAAATCATTCGGTCTCAAAGAAGTTCATGTTGTACATGACGGGGAACCGCTTCTAGCAGCCATAGCAGCCGAGGTCGTTGAGGTTACAGGTGGGAGTTCGGTTTCTACCAAAACCTCTCCTAGCAGGCACGCCCCGGTAGCTGAGAGAGCAATCCGCACGCTTAAAGAAACCGCTTTGGCCAACGAGCTTCACGCCAAGGGCGTGAGTGGCTTGAAATTGTTGGCAAATGAGGAAGCGATGGAATTGCTTCACAGCCACGCGGCTGCTTCACACAACCGGTTTGGAACGTCACAAGGTCAACTGTTGAGTCCTTTGCAGCGAGCTTTGGGTGAGAGTCACACGCCTCACTTGTTGTTTCCTTTCGCTTGCATCATGTACATTCAGCCCCCAGAACACCTTGCATCACAAGTTGATGGTCGATACGACATTGGTGCCTATCTCGGCCCCGTGATTGGTGGGCAAGGGCATCACTGCATGATCAGACTCTCAAATGGGTCTATGAAAAGATGCGTCGCCCGGGCTCTCAAGATGGCCTACCCAGTGACGTTCTCGTCGAACTTGTTACCCACTATCGCCGAGGCTAATCCTGATGAGCCTGATTATGAAAGCCTACCAGGGGTGGCCCTACCGAGGAAAGCAATCCCGTTGCCGCAACCGGCGCCTGAATGGCTTGAAAACAACAAAACGGCACGTTGTCCGGGATGCTTAGGTAGATCACGCTTCCACTCTAGGCGTTGCAAAGTTCGCTTTCGTGATTACATCAGGGATACGCTCGGTGATCTTGACAATCCGGAACAGCAACAAGCCCCTGAAAAGCCTCAAGTAAAAATCAACCCGAATCCTGAAGTCGTGGAGTTTGAACAAGAGAGCTTGGATTACGAGCCCAGCCTTCCTGGGTCTCCTGTTCCTGAGGATCTGCAGCACTTGGTGCCTGAACCCTCACAGGCAGGCCAAGACCTTGAGCTCCCTCAGGAGTATCTCCCTGGAGGAGACGTTGAAATGGATCAGGTTGATATGGATGACTACACCGTGCCCATGGATGTAGCTCAGGTCCCGGATGTTCTTGACAGTACGAGCATGCCTCAGTTCATGTTCTCAGTGATTCCGGACCAGAAGCATCACCTGAGTCCTGTTGATTACGGTGAGGTTGGCTCGTTTGCTGCACAGCTTAAGAGAAAAGGGCCCGCTCAGCACAGTAACCCCGATGAGGGGGTGACCATGCCTTTCGGCGATCGAGAGGTGTGGGTCATCAAGCCCACTTCTGTGGTTGATGATGTCAGTGGCTTGCCTTTGGATCCTGAGAAAACGTGGGTTGGCATGCAGAAAGAGGTGTCTGCTATGCACAACTTGGGTGTCGGCAACGCCCGCACCTATGATGAGATTAAGACCCACTGCCAGGAGACAGGTGCCAAGATCATTAAGTCGCGTTTTGTCTTCACTGACAAGGTTGATGTTGACGATCAGCACATTGTGCGTGCGCGCCTTGTTGCAAAAGACTTTGCTTTCAATCAACCTTCGGCGCTTGACTTGGGCATTGCGAGCCAGACTGCTTCTGTGGAGGCCTTCAAGGCTTTCATCTGTCGTGTTGTCCAGGATACGCTTGTCCTTTGGGGACTTGACGTTTCGACTGCCTTCTTGTATGCCAAGTTGGTTCTTGATACCGTGCTTGAGTTGCCGGGATGCTTTCAGAACCTTGATGGCTCTAAGGTTTACGTCATCCTGGAGAAAGCCATATATGGCTTGAGATCGGCAGGCCTTTCGTGGCAGAAGCATCTTGCTGGACTTCTTGCTGAGTTGGGATTGTTTCCTTCTCTTATTGAACCTACGTTGTACAAAGGGTATTGGGGAGACATCCTTGTGCTTTGTCTTGTGTACGTCGACGACATCTTGCTAGCCACAAGAACGAAAGAGGCAAACCAACAGCTTCTAGACTTCCTCATGGGCCGTCTTAAGGTCAAGTTGACTGGACGCTTGGATGAGGACGGCAGGATCGGATTCCTAGGCCGTGAGATAATCAAGCGTGGCCATGAGATCTTGTTGGCTGTGAAGAAAGAATACGTCGATTCGATCTTCGAGGCTTTTGGGTGGAGCCAGGAGAACCGCAGGAAGATGAAGCCCTGCACTGCACCACCAGACCTCCGATCGATCCTTGACAAGGAAGACCCCGAGAAGCCCTCCGAAGAGCTCTCCCCTGAAGCCGCGAGCCGCTTTAGAAGCACCCTAGGGAAACTAGGCTGGCTTGTGCAAACCAGGGGGGATTTGTGTTATTTTCACTCCATGCTGTCTAGAGGTCAAGCCTGTCCGCGCGCTGTGCATGAGGATTGTATGCGTAAAGTGCTTCGTTGGCTTTTGGAGGTTCCCGATCTTGTTCAGGTCTTTCAGAAGGACTCCAAAGCTCAACCTGGGACTGCAACCCTCGTTGGATTCAGCGACGCTAATTGGGCCTCTGAGCGCTCTACTGGACGGAAGAGCACCAGCGGAGGAGTGATTTACCTGAATGGGAATTGTATCAAGACTTACTCGAGGCTCCAGCCTATCGTAGCACTCTCCAGTGCGGAGTCTGAGCTTTTCGCTATGGTTGAGATGGCGCGCGAGCTTGTAGGATTGGGGCAGCTTTTGGGCCACCTTTTCGAAGGCGTTGCGCAACCCCTATACCTGCCTACGGACAGCTCTTCCGCTCGCCAAGTCAGTATGATGTCCGGCTTCCTGAGAAGGATGCGTCATGTGGACCTTCGTCTTTGCTACTTGCAGGAAGCGTCTCGGTTCAAGCGAACTGGTAGCGGTGGGCCCTCGCTCGGGTCTGGGTTTGGGTTTGTTCAGGGCACCCGGGTTTCCCCTCCTTCGTGTGGTTTTCCCCGTGTTGCCCAGTTCGTTCGGCCCTTGCGAGGTGTAGGGGCGGGTAGCGGGGCGGGGTAGCGGCTCATAGCACCCTCTGGTGCTGTAGTGCCATTAAGCGTCGTCCCGGCTGCCCGGGCTTACTCTTGCACTGCACCACGGAGTTGATTCATTTGAAAACCTTGGCACGGGATCAGGTCATTGATCACATAGCACGAGATCCCTCCTACGGGGACCGCCTCGCAGCCAGCTTGTGGCAGCACTTGGAAGCAGCCGACTTCTTCGTATCTGCACTGGACATTTTGCCTCGAGCAGGTGGCCTTTCCCTGGTTGCTTACGCGTCAAGGAATTATCCTTCTTTGGTAGAGGCCACAGAAAGAGAGCTCGGAGCTCCTTTGACCAGCTTGCTGCAGTCAGGTCCTCTCAGGACATGAACCCTGCAAGGTTGCCAATTGCCAATCAGATTTTCAGTCTGATTTTCAGCTTGATTTTGGGTGCGTGCTTTTCTTCATTTAGTGTTTTGCAGATGGATCCAACCACAAACAGCGAGCATGATTTTCACAGTGTGCCGTCGTCGGGCGCTTCAGTGCCCTTGAACGCGCATGCACCGGAGTTCGTGCCTGCTACGTCGCAACCTCAGAGAGTTCCTGCATTGCACTCTGAAGCCGAGTTAGGGATTGAACCTGCGGTTTTGAGTGAGCCTGCGCTTGAGATTGTCTCTTCTTTTGCATTAGGACACACGCTGAACCCGCATGCTCCTATTTTCATGCCGCACACCCATGATGATTATTACCCAGCCCGAGAAAAGCCCACAGAACTACCGTACATGATGACCACAGGAACCAGCCCTGGTCCCAAGTCCAGGGGCAGGCCGCATTTTGCAGATCACACAAGTGCAAGAAAGCCTGCAGACGCGAGGGTTGGATCGGAGGCCGACGATCCTGGAGCCGCATCGCAAGACTCCATGTACCGCCAATCAGAGGCGAAGCCAGGCCATAACACCCGCAAGTTGCCCCATCGCAAGAGGGCACTTCGCAGAGCTATCACTACGGCACAGCAGTTTGGAGTAGCACCTTACCGAGGCTCAGTTTTCGAAGGTAGGCATTTGCAAGTGCACAGGGCCGCTGGCCCAGCCACATCCCGTGACGCAGGGGAAGACGCCACGACCGGCACGCCGGCACGGCCCTCCTGTACACATAGGCTTGGCAGCTCAGGAAGTGCACGGATTCAAGTTGCCAAAGCTTCTGCACATGCTCCCTCACCTAGACGTTGCAGCCTGCTCACGTGGAACGCTGGGGGACTGACCACCCTGGTGTGGTCAGAACTCAAGGCGTGGCTCTGCGCACACCGCAATCAGATAGACATTGTTTGCATTCAAGAAACATTTTGGCGAGAGGACCTCATGTGGGATGACGATCATTGGTGCTTTGTGCACCACAGCAGTGGGGCCCCCAAGGAGGCCGGCTTGCTGACCTGCATATCCAAGCGTTTGGCCACCCCTGAGGGCATTAGGCATAGCTCCATCATCGCAGGTAGGTTGCAGCACTTGCGGATCACACCCAAAGCAGGACATCAGCCTATAGACCTTCTTCATGCATATCAGTTCGCCTGGCACCACCGCAAACAGGACAGCAAGAACGACTGGTGGCAGGATGCCATGCGCCGCAGGGCTCAGTTCCTGCAAAAGCTGTGTAGCTCCGTTCGATCGCTCCCTCGTCGTAACCTTTTGTGCATCACAGGTGACCTGAACACACAGCTTGCATCATGCAAAGGAGTCGTCGGCCTTGGTATCCCTTCTACCCCTCCCCCGCAACAAGACGGTCAGGACCTGCTGCACACGTTGTGCACATATGGACTGGTGGCGACCAACACCTTTGGTCAGGCACCGGGTGCAACGTTTGTCAATCCTGCCACAAATGCCCAAACACTGATTGATTACATTATTCTACGTGGGGCACATGCCGACGGCACCAGTCTTGCCAGCGGACCGGTGCAGGATTGGCCGGTGGCCATGGGCCGATTGGGCTCTCGACACATACCGGTCCGAGGCTCTTTTCCTTTCACGTGGTGTCCCTGGGTGCACTCTCGTTCTAAGCAGCTGACTTTGAAGCCTAGGTCCGTTTGGGAAGCAGTTCGGAACGACCCCGCACGACAGCAAGCCTTTCGTGACAAACTGAGGGTCACCCTACCCCAGCAACCCACAATTGCTGACATAGATCGATGCTTGACTCAGGCCTGGATTCACAGCCAACCGGCGGGTGCACGGGGAACCCTTGCACCGGCGGGGACAGCTGCTACTGTGTCGGCCGAAGCCACAGCCGTGCGCGCTCTTTGGCAATTGCGCAACGAACGGGATGCGCTGACCCATAGGCCACCTGTCTACTGCCTGCGTGCAGCCTTCGCGGCATGGAGGCTTGATCATCAGATCCGTGCACTTGAGCGCAAGATCGTTGCTGAGCGCCGCGCTCGCAAGAAGGCCTTTCTTCTCGAGCAAACCGCTTTGGCGGAGCGGGCGGCACAGCAGGGCCAGATGTCTGCATTGTATCGTGTGGTGAACCGCCTTGCTCCTCGCAAGGTCAGGGCACGGTTGCAAATCCGCGATCCCGAGGGCAACCTTCAGGATCCACAGGCGGAATGCGACACACTTTTGCAATACTTCAGGGATCTTTTTGCTTCTTCGAAGGCTTGCCCGACACAGGTCTTCGATTGCAGTGTTCAGCTTTTCGACTCCAGCATGTGCACAGCGGCCCTTGAATCTCTGTCGGCTTTGAAGGCCGCGCATCCATCGGCTTCGCCTGGAGTCCTATGGAAGCTCGCTGCACAAGAGGTGGGCCCGGTGCTCAGTGACTGTCTCAATGCTGCCTTTTCGAACGTACCCCACATGCTTCCCCTGCCCATTAGGCGGGTCTCGCTTTGCTTATTGCCGAAACCCACCAAAAAGTCGCAACAACCATCGGATACTCGCCCAATCAGCTTACTCAGCCCGGCAAATAAAGTACATGCGATCATGTTATCGGAGCTCATTGCACCGTATCTTCAACACTACATTGCTGATGTCCCTCAGTATGCATACGTGAAGGGGCGATCCACTGTTGAAGCGCTGCACCGTGTAGTATCACACTTTTATAGTGTCCGAGCGGCAGCCCCCACCAGAGAGCGCATGGTACAACGACGACGCGACTCAACCTCCAGAGCTCAATGCGTGGGGGGGGTTACATTCTCTTTGGATGTGGCCAAAGCGTTCGACTCTCTCCCCAGGTCGATGATTGCTGCTGGTATGCGAGATGCCATGATCCCTGAGCCCATTGTTCAACAGGTCCTCGCCATTCATTCCCAACTTCTTGTTGAGCTTGAACATTGCGGCCTCAAAGCTTCTTGTGCCACCTCTCGGGGGGTTCGTCAGGGGTGTCCATTATCCCCTGCCTTATGGGCGCTCTCGACGGGTTATGTGTACCGACAGCTACTTGTTGCGCTAGGTCCCCACGCGTCAGAAATACTCACCATTTATGCTGACGATCTGATCGCACAGTGGATGATTCGAACATCCTCGGATCTAACCGACTGCCTTGCACAATTGCACAAACTGGTGTTGATTTTACGTTCTCATGGCATGGAGGTCAGTGATACCAAGAGCGTGATTCTTTACCAGTTGCATGGCACACAGGCTGAACGCACCATGGGCAAACTTCGATTCAAAGACAAAGGTGTCTTCAAGCTGCGGGTGGCACCCGATTGCGCTTTTCCGGTTGTTAGGAAGCACCCCTATCTCGGCATCATTCTCAGCTACGGAGCCTTGGAACACCACAGCATCACCCACCGGTACCACCGGGCAGGGCAGCTTTTCTCCAGGCTTCGACAAGTGCTCAGTGCCAGACACAATCTCAGCCGCCACACCAGGCGGCGTTTGTGGCTGTCGACGGTATGGCCATGTCTGAAATACGGGATCTCGGCACTACAACTTGAAGCCAAAGACACTGTCAGGATCCGGGGCATCGTTGCCCGACACCTTCGCATCGTCAGTGGACAGCTGTCCAAGGACACACATGTGACCACGGATGCCTTCCTCAACGAGCTGGGTCTCGATCCAGTCGCGCTCCTCTCGCAGGAAGCCGCCGCCAACTTGACCCGATTCCAGGCCCTAGACCGGTCGCTTCAACTCGATCGGGTTGCACAGTGGCATGTCATTCTTCAGGCCGCGTTCGCGCAGCCACCCGCTGCTGCACCGCAGGCGCCGAACATTGCTCCCACATCTCAGCCGACACCCAGTGCACACCGAACGCACTTTTTGCACAGAGGCACTTTCACGAATGGACCGGATGTCTCTGAAGCCCACGCTTCGACTGGCACTCAGAATGCTGCACCGACGCCAGCACCTGCCCCGGATTCAGGTGCCACTCGGGCTGCTGCATCACTTCATGAAGTGACCTTAGTGGCCAGCCCATATGCTTGCCCTGATTGTCCGTGCACCTTCGCGAACTCAGGTCTGCTCCAGCGCCACCGGGTACGTGCACATGGCGCTCAGGCGCATCGGGATGTCAAGAAGGCCCTCGCCTCAATCAATCAAGTTGAGCACTCCCTCAACGGGGTTCCCACATGCAAGTACTGCCTTCGTGAGTTCAATGGGTGGAGAAATTTTAACTTGCACATTCAGTTTGATAGTTGTGTGCCCAAGCGGCTCAATACCGCTCAACCTCTTCTGCTGGGGTCTTCGGACCGGGAAGAGGCTCCATCTTCTGCACCCACAACGGCCGTGCAAGCTAGTGAGACCCTCAGCGAATGCGCACCTGTTGCGCCACCGGAGACTGCACCACCATCCCCCCCTCCCCCAGCACCTTTTGCTGCCAGGCTGATTGACGAGCCCTGCCTGAGAGCGGAGCCCAGGGAACACCTCAGACGCTGGCAAAATATTGCCTCTAAGGCAGAATTGCATGCTCGCATGGCGCACCACTGCCCAGTATGCAATCTTTGGGCGAACGACGGCAGTCGCATCAAGATCCACATTCGTGCCAAACATCCATCGGCTGTAGATAGGTTGAATCAAGCTGTCAAGGAAGCCAAGGCTGTTCAGGTGCAACGTCCATGTCAGTTCTGTTCGCAAGCTTACCGATGTGCTCCATGTAGGCATGCTGAGGGCTGCACGGTCATTTGGCAGTCGGTCTTCTCTAGTCTCGATCCCGATTTACTCCCCAGTCCCAGCCATGACGATGGATGTGGACCAGAAGTTGACTCACGACCAAGAGGAGGAGAGAGAGTGGGAGCTGTACTCGGCGTTCATGAGCACAGCCATGACGACGACACCCTCGACGACACCCAAGCGACCGCTAGAGCCCCCAAGCAAGCTTCAGAAGACAGACCCCAGGCAGGGAAAAGGCAAAGGAAAGGGCAAAAAGGGCGGAGGCAAGGGCAAAGGCAGTGCCAACAGCAGTCAAACAAAGGACGAGGAAGTCGCCCAGCTTTGGACCCTGTGCCACATGATGATCCGCTTGATGGTACGGCACGAGGACTCGATCAAGACCCTCATGCTGGACACATCCTTCGTCATCTGGATGCGCACAGGCTTGCCGGGTGGAGTCCCGGAGGCCCTGTTTGCGGTGGCGACCAAGTGGAAGGCCGATCGGGAGACCACTCCTCCCACATCCCCGCTGCGGCTCACCCTGTGGATGTGTGTATGGCGCGAGTTTCTGAAGCGACTGCAACCGGCTCGCATGACACAGGAGATCCAAACCAACATGAAGAAGCTCGGCTTCCTCACAGACGAGGGCAAATGGAACTTCCTTCGGTGGGACCCGGATCAGGCCAAGCTGATCCCAGACACCACTCGCCCACCTTTGACGGCGGCGGCCGCGATCGAGCTGGTGGAGAGTGTGATCCGATTGGCGACGGACTCCCAGCTGCTGACTCGGTTTGCCCCCACCAGGCCTCTGGCATCGGAACTCAAGGGCCCATCGATCACCTTCCTGGCGTCGGTGTCCAATCGCACCACACCGAGCGATCAAATGCACGCCTCCCTCGCGGAGCTCTGCGGCAGCGCTTGCTGCCAGGTGATCGGCATGTCCATCAAACCCGAACGATTGACGAGGTCCCCTCTTGCTCAACAGATCTGCAAGTTCCTGCCTGCACCGCCCCCGCCGCCGCCCCAGCCTTAACCTTAAGCTCTCCCTCGGTACCAGCTAATACCCCAGTGAGCACCTCCCTCAGACTAAGCAGCAAGGTCGACGACGCCATCCAGCTGAGGATGCGCCTCACTAACGGCTCCAACCTCTGCTATGCCAACGCCTCACTGGCAGCCTTGCTTTGGTGCAGTCGTGCATGCAATCAGGCGGTGATTCCGAGACATGTGTTCATCGCTTTGGAGGCTTGCATACTGGGACGGCAGCCTTTTAGCCTGTGGAGTCTGCTTGGGTGGCAACAGCTCCTTGCTGATTGGAGGAATCCTCGAGAGCAACACGATGTTGCTGAGTTTGTGCAACACCTTCAGGCGCGCATGCAGACTCCTGCACTTCAGGGACTGTGGCAAGCCCGTGATTCCCATGATCAGGTGCGGGATTCGGGAGACACCTGTCCACTTCTTTTGACCGCGCCTCTGTTAAGTCACTTCTCTGTTCAGTTGCTCGTCGATTTGTGGCACACCCAGGCCCCAACGCATGCTCTGCTTCAGACGCCGGAGTGCCTGATCCTTCAGCTTGCGCGGTTTGATGTAGACGATGCTGATGCCCAAAAGGTTTTAGAACCCGTTACTCTCGACCCTGTCCTGAAGGTTCCTTACTTCTCAGGCCACTCCACTAGGGTCTTAGAATACCACTTACGAGCGGCCATCGTCCACATTGGCCCCCGAATGGCAACTGGCCATTACAGAGCGGCTCTGTTTGAGGATATGGCACGTAAGGTTTTCTACACTGACGATAATCGGGTTGCTAAGCTTGCCAAGCCTGCCGAACTTGCTGAGATACATGCGAATGCTTACCTTGTCTGCTATACCAAAAAGCCACGCACAGTGCCATCTCCTCAGGGGACAGCTGTTGCGTAGTCGCGAGTGCAAGTGGTTTCGCGTCACTCGTGTGTGACCTGCAGTCCCCAAGTGCTTCTGCACTGCAGTTTTGGCCGTAGTTCCGTAGCTGCTGCCGTAGCCCGTAGTGTTGAGCTTCAAGCTCCTGCCGTAGCTCGTAGTTCTGCGTACCCTAGGTACAAGTTAGTGTTCTGCTGCACAAAGTGCGGCGCCTCTCGCGATGACCCACAGTGGTCCATCGGCGGGTTCGCAAAGGACTTTTCGAAGCCCAGCGTTGGAAAGCGAAAAGCTACTTGCAGGATAAGGTTGAGAACGGCGAGATCCTGGTTACACACGTCCCAGGAACGGATAACGTCGCCGACTTGCAAACAAAGAACTTGAGTGTCGCGCAAACTTGGTATCATATAGGACAGTTGTGTCTTGAGGAACGTCTCACCCGTAGTGACTATCTTCGAGGTGATGCGCCCCCGGTCCGTTGCCTTGTGTTTGCCGCGTTCAAAGGTCTGTTTTCTGCAAGCGTCGATGATCCTTGGAGTGTGTTGGTTGGTCGTTGTCGGTTGCAGACACCGCATTACATTGTGATGGTCGAGTTCTGCACCTCTGGAGAAGCCTGGTTGACTAAGCTTGCTAGCCACTATGGCATCCATGCTATTCCCGTGACGGAAGAAACGGATGGGACTCTTCCGGAGACCATCGAGCTCATTGAGCATGCGCTTCGTTCGGCGCACCGTCGGAACATGCATGTTGTTGTGTGGGCTTCGACGCCCTGTACCGGTGGTTCGCCCTGGCAGCGCTACCACCAAGCTCGATCTGCAGATCACTATGATGAAAGGATGAAAGGACTTTTCACAGTCCACCGAAAGCTCTGGAAGAGCTTCTTGAAGCTAGTCAACACATCTGATTCGGCAACTTGGGTCATTGAATGGCCGCAACGTTGTGCTTACTGGGGATGGTCCGCTACGAAGTCATTCCTTAAGATCAATCCGCATGAGACCGCTCTTGTGCATGGTTGTGCTTGCGGCATGGTTGGAATGGACGCACTTCCAGTGAAGAAGGTTTGGAGGTTGTGCTCGAACAGTCATGTTCTCATTCACTGCATGGATAAATTAAAGTGCCCTGGAAACCACGAGCATAGTAAGATGTTCGTTCTGAAGAACACCCAGCACTACCCCGAAGCTTTTGCTCACACAGCTCTTAGGGCTTTGAGTGCTTGGTAGGTGCTGACGCCTCTTTGTACAGCCGCAGCCGTTTTTGGAAGAGCCATAAAGCTACCGTGGACCGTGAGAAGATCGGTGAGCCCAATACGCAACAGCAGCCACTGGACCGGTACCTTTTCTCGACGACAGGTTCATGAGGGGGAGTTGATTTTCAATCCGATGACATTTCGGCTGACGTGGTAGGTTCCACTGCTTCTAACACGGCTCACAAAGCCCTCAAGACATTTCGTATACTGCGAGATTCTCTTGCGGAACAAAATCTTCAGGTTTCTTTGGAGAAAACCAAGTTTCTTTGCCG